CTTCCTTCCTGCCTTCCTTCCATCCTTCCATCCTTCCATCCGTCCATCCACAGATAGATTTATAGATAGTTAGACAGATAGATTGATAGATAGGCACAGCTAGATTGATAGATAGATAGATAGGTAGATAGGCAGACAGATGGAGAGGCAGACACATGGATGGATGGATGCACGCATGATTAGGCAGAGGCGGACAGACCGGATAGGTACATGCACACATACAGACATTTTGACTCTGTCGAGGCACCGCCACCACAGCCGGAGCACTCCGAGCCCATCACCGCCGAGGCAGCCGCGCCCTCCGCGCCCTTAAGTGGGCCGTGACCTCAAGAGCGCATACTTGCTATACACATAGACATCCGTTTGTGTTAAGTGTGTCTTATGAATTATGATGTTGAATGTCTGCATGTTTCTTATTGGGGGATTTCGTCTATTCATGGCTCTATGTAGACCGCCGATGAATACATGCCTTGGTCAGTTTGAGATCCTCATCATAATCTCAACTAAAGCGGGTTTATGAACCAGGGTCCCTGATTTTGCGAAACTTGCACATCGGTTTAGAGCTTGTACTGGAACTTGAAAGCGCCTTCAAAACACTTGGTCTTTGCTGAGGATCGCGCCGCCTGCAGGTATCGCTCCCCCAGCAGGCCTTGCAGGGCGCACATGCGCAGGAACTCCGATTACTGTTCAGTTATTGTGGGCTTCATTCCTTGACTTAAGCGAGGAGCCTAAATAATTACCTATATCATTGTTAGGCTTCCTTGGTATAATGATCCCATAAAGGATCCCGAAACCCTATTCTAACTATTAAGGCCCCTACATGACGTACCCATCAATCCCGAATCCCAGGACGTTGATGAAGGCCCACGAATTCAAACCCCACAGCCCAACCCCAAAGCCATAAACTCAAGGCCAAACTCCGCAACTCGAAGGACCAGTGTTCAGGGTTTAAAGGGTTCAGGGTTTAAAGGGTTTAGGGTTTAAAGGGTTTGGGGTTTAAAGGGTTTAGGGTTTAAAGGGTGCAAGGCTTAAAGGGTTGAGGATGCAACTTTGGCGTTTAAAATGTGATTATCAGTATCCCAATTGTGTGATTGTGCTCACAACCATTCCCCTTCAGGCAGAACCCTGTCCCTAAACCCTATACACCCGCAATCCCCTGCGTAACCCTAAACACTAAACCTTAATCCCTTGAGTCCTAAACCCTAAACCCTCAAGCCTTAAAGCGCCGAGCCATACCCGGAAGTCTTAATGGAGGAGTCCCCATCACTGTAGCAAGCCGCTTTGGAATCCTTATCGGTACTGTACCTCGTAGTCCTAGCGCCCTAGACCTTAAACCCTAAACCTGCATAGGAGCCCTGTGCGGAGCCCTGTGCGGAACCCTAAACCCTAAACCCCCTGCAAGACCCATCAACGCCCTAGAAAGCCCTTGCGTTAATGCCATAAGCACTGAGGCAGCCTTAAATCAGCCCTTATAGATCCCTTCTGGAAGCTACAGAAGGAGCCGTACACACCAGAGGCATAGGCATGCCCACAGCCGGCATCGCGCCGCCTGCGGGCTTCTCCAGTGCTCCCTCCTTTGGCTCTCTGCCGACATCTTCCGTGGAGCTGCGGCGTGAGGAGGCGTAGGGTTTGGGGTTATGGTTTTTTGGGGTGTAGGCTTGAGGGGTTTAGGGTTGTGTCGTTGAGGGAGGTCTTTTTTGAACAGGATCTTTCTGGGATTCCAATTATGCAATACGTAATGAAGAATTTCTCGAATATATTAGTCATTGTATATGTATATATGTGCATATGTATGTAGACATATATATATATATATATATATATAGATGTATGTATATATCCTTGTCGGGCGCGGCACAGTGTAAGGATGGGCTGGGTGCGGAGCGCTTGAACTCAGCTTCAAGACCTTTGCTGGTTTAGATGCTGCAGGATGTCACGCTCATGTTAGATGTGACGGGCAAGGATTCTGCCTGAAATTTCGGGTGAAGTGCGCATGAAAGGTAGTGGTGGACTAGGCTGTCCAGCTATCACTCGGCATATTGCATTGAATCCCGACGCGTAAACAAAAAGAACTGATAATTTACCAGGCTTTTTAAACTCAAGCATGACCAGCACATGCACACATGTTTCAATGCGGTTACGCATGACTATGCGCATTCTGTACATGTGTATGCAGATACGTACTGATGGAAGTTTATGTGTCTGGAGGCGTTCATTTGTATGTGCATGTATATATGCATGCAACCGACATATGTCAAAGTCTTTCGATCTAAGCCATAAAACCTGTGCCCGTCAACATTTCCTTTTCAGGCACCTCTTCCCCAGGAGGCACCGCTTCCAGAGGCACCGGTGACTTCTTTCTGTTGAATTCTGGGCTCCTGTTAGGGTCCGTTGCTTTTTGTGCCCACGGTCCCGCGGTTCTTTCTTTCGCAGTGATGACTTGCACAACGGCACCGCAGAAATGCATATCTTGAGGAGGGCAGGCAGGGTGTGCAGACAAAAAGCCAGGGGGCCGAGTTTGGAAGCGATTGTCGGATGCTGTAAACCCGAAACCTTAAGCCTTAAGCCCTAACCCGAGCTCTCTTCACCATCCCTGGCTTGCCAAAGCCAGACCTGCGAGATGCCTGTAGAGACAGCCAGGATGCCAGTCGAATTAGGTCCCACCTGTTCAAGAGTCAAGGCTTGAAAGCTGCCCACCGATGTAAACTGTGCGCGTTGGATCTAGACCTGAACCTAACACCGACAACCCTAAACCCCCTAAACCAGAAACCCTAAACCCCTAAACCCTAAACCCTAAACCCTAAACCCTAAACCCTAAACCCTAAACCCTAAACCCTGAACCCCCAAACTCCTTGGCCCCCGAAACTAAACCCTGAAGCTTCAAAGCCTAAGCCCTCCGCTCCAGGGCGTTCAAACGAAAGAGGCCCAAGCCCTTGAGCCCTAATATAGGAGCCTAAACAATTACCAATACTGTTTTGGGGGCTTGCTATAATTATAGTATAATATACCGCAAAAACCTATTCTAATTATTGAGGCCCCTACATTACATCAACCCAAGATTGAGAAACCACGGAGAGTTAGCACGCACGACATGAGTACCAGGCTATGCTACATTAATTGCATTGTTCTATGCAGACTATATAGCAAACTTTCGTACGCTGCAGTATACTTTAGTATACGATGTACTGCAGCACTGAATGCTATGTACTTTATACCGTTTAATATATACTAGATACTAGATACTATATACTATGCATGCTGTATGTGCTGCATATACTATATACTATTTATATACATATATACATTTCTGTTTATGTATGTTATGTAGGCTATATAGACTATATACATACATATAGTTACATATATATATATATATACACACACACTTTAGCTACTATCTATTACATATATGTATTAATATATAGTATATATATATAGGTTGTTTATACTGTATATATATATATATATGTGTATATACATATATACATATAAACATATATACATATATACATATATACATATATACATATATACATATATACCTATATATACATATATGTATATATATATATATATACATAGTTCGTAAATTCGAGACTAAACATGCTGTGTATGAATGATATCTATATATGCAGTACCTACGACTTATATACTATAGTGGCTAAATAGACCATATATGTATACACACATACATACATACATCTATATGTATATATACATATATACATATGCCGTATATACTACATATACTATGTATATATACTACATATACACCATATTTACTATATGCTAGGTATTATTCACTAGCATGTACAATATACTACATATAACATTTACTATTTCATATATAATATAATTTGTAGACGATATATATACTACATAGAATATAGTATATACTATATATATACTATATTCTGTATACTACTATACTACATACTCCATGATACTCTATGGTACTATATTATGCCCTAAACCTAGACCCTAAACCCTAAACCCTAAACCCTAAACCCTAAACCCTAAACCCTAAACCTTAAACTGTTATGACCTGGAAGGTATCTCATACAGACGAGAATTGGGACACACCGGCGGACGCACCGGCCCCTCTGTCGCAAGCCAATCGTCGTCGTGCAACTAAGGGGTTTAGGGTTTAGGGTTTAGAGTTTAGGGTTTAGGGTTTAGGGTTTAAGGAGGCTTAGACAACATGTGGTTTCAAGGTTTTAGTTGTTGAGTTCAGCGTTCAGGATTAAGGTATGAGGGTTTAGAGCTTAAGGCTTTGGGTTCAGGGTTTCCCTAAGCCCAAGTTCAGGTGATAACATTTGTTCCTAAACCCTAAACCCTGAATCCTAAGCCCTAAACCCGAAATCGGCGCAGCATTCTCAGGCCCCGGCTCCCCCGACGGCCGTGACACAGGCGGGGCCGGGGTTTCGGAGGGTTTCGGGGTTTCGGGGGTTTGAGGGTTTTAGGGTTTTAGGGTTTAGGGTTTAGGGCTTAGGTTTCAGGGTTTCAGGCTTTTTTTGTAGGGTTTTGGAGTTCCAGGGTTTTCGGGTTTCAGGGTTTACTTGAGGGTTTCCGGGTTTAGGGGTGTGCGGTGCTGGGGTTTTAGGGTTCAGGGTTTAGGGGACACTGAACCCCAATTCTCAAACGATGACGAATTTAGTGTTACTATCGTTGACAGGCGCAAATGCAGGTCTGAGCTCTTACGGCGGGGTTGTACTACAGCCTAAAAAATTCCCAAAATTCCTGTTAGGGTTCCTTATTATAGTGAGACTGTAAAGGAGCCCAAAACCCTATTCCAATTTTTTAAGGCCGCTACATGACTGTTTTGGAGGTCTTTCAATGTGCTTGACTTCTGAAAACTGGGGAAACCGCGCAATCTCAGTATCAATGATAGAAAGGACCAGCATGTCAAAGCGGTGCTCACCAGAAAAGCCCATCGGGCATTCTCCAAGTGAGGGTCTCGACCCTAAACCCTAAACCCTAAACCCTAAAGCCTAAACCCTAAACCCTAACTTTTTTTGGGACGCCGTTTAGAGATTTGCCCTCAAGCCCAGCCGCAAAAGCCTTAGAAAGTACCCCTACACCCTGCAAGCCCCATATAACCCTCTAGACCCCTATCAAAAAGGGGGCCCCTAATTATACGTAGTTGTACGGCACCTCCCACGTTGAAGGAGAGCGGCTGGGACGATGACGAGCCTGCGGAGGTTCAGGCCTAAACCCTAAGCCCTGCACCCTAAATGGAGTTGTTTCAGGGCTTTGGGCTAAGAGCTTTGCGGTTCCGGGTCAACGGTGTGAGGTCTTCAGGGATTAGGGGTTTATCGGGGGCTTTTTGGTGTAGAGGCTGTCGGGGTGTTAGAGCTTCAGGGTTTAGGGATTGTCGGGATGAGCTGTTGTCTCCGTGGTATTCGTCACAATCTCCTCATTTTACATGATGCGAAGTAATCGACAGTTTACGCTCTGAGTTTCACATTTTCACGGGTCCAAGGACCCCTAAACCCTAAACCCTAAACCCTAAACCCTAAACCCTAAACCCTAAACCCTAAACCCTAAACCCTGTAGTTAGGAGGGGGCCCGGGCTTCGGGCCTCGTTTCAGCGGGACGTCACTGATGGACGTCAGGGAGACCGTATGGGAGATCTTTGCACAGCCGGTGCCGCCATGTGGATTCTGAGCATAAGAGGGACCGCAGAAACCTCCCAACTGAAAGTTGACGTTTGAGGATCTACAATTCGACCTGTCCGTCAGAATACTGTGCACTGTGAACTCTACTACTCTTGGACGCTGAAGCAGGACAGCGCGCCAATGCCGCCCCAGGCCAGGGAACCGGGTGCAAGAAGACAGGTCCTTTTATTCACGTGCCTTTCTGATTTGCTCAAGGACTTCAGGCAGCTTCCAGAAATCAGTGTGTTTCGTCTTGGATGTCGTAGAGGGAGGAAGGGAAGGAGGGGGTGAGGAAAGGGGGAAGGGACGGAGAAAGCAGTCTTGAAGAAGTCGCTTGAAGGAACGCGTAACAAGAGACCTACAAAACCCTAAACCCTTCGCCCCCCGTCCTAGAAAATCCGAAGGCGCCAATGCCGCCTTCATTTCAGACTCCCGGGGACGACCTCGAGCCTAGACATTTTCTTGTTAGTTTGTTAACGGTTTTCAGGTTGAAAGGTTTTGGGCTGTTGAGGAATTGCGGGCTAACGGATTCGAAGTGTCGCTTGCGGTTCTGGCATGTAGGTGGGTATCTGTAGGGGGTTGAGGGTTTCGGGCGTTACTGAAAGGTTCAGGCTTTAGGGCTTAGGGTCTTGGACATCTACGCATGGAATGCTTCAGCTTCAGCAAAGCTCCAACAAATTAGCCAGGAATCTGTTTGCTCCACTTGCCGCATAACTTTTCTTTGGCTATATCAATTGTCTGCCTCTGCTTGAAGGTCCATGGTTAGTTGTAAGCATAGTTGGAAGTACCGTCGTTGTGTGCTCAAAAAGTTGTATATAGCCATATCTGGAAGTGTCTTGATATAACCCTACTTGCGCAGAGCCCTGATCGTTTGCAATACTTCTGAGGATGATTTGGTTGGCGAAATGATGGCCACCGATGCGACGGTCATTGGTCACGGGCCCCTCGCAACCACTTCCAAAGTTGGGGTTTCGGGTTTAGGTGCAACAGTTCCAGAATCGTATAGCTTTTTGGCTAGAGCATGCCCTGCGATTGCGGTGTTCATAAGACTGTTAACGAAAACCTCCGAAGTCTGCACTACCAAACATCGCATGAAAATGGCAGGGGCCGCAGTGCTTGAAAAGCAAAGCCTTGTACAGCAGATCCCGGACCTGTCCCGGAACAGCTTTCGGGTTTAGGGCTTAGGGTTTAGGGCAGCTTTCCGAATCCCTGCTTGCCGCTGAGGCTGCTCGAGAATTTTCATTGCATGGGCTGCGATTTTCAGGCGCAGCAAGAAGCCAATGGACTTTTACACTTCTGCACCGGGATTCGGAAGTTGTAAGTGACTGCTCACGGGGCTAGCAGCGTCCGACGAGGTTTCAAGCAATGGTAGTTCTTGAAAATCAGTCACGTGACAAATTTTGCAACGCCACACCTCCCTGACTCTGTGACAAGCTGGGAAGCTTGGTAGGTCTTGGTGTGCGACGACTATGTGTGGAACACAGATGTCGACTACATGCCGATGCCCCAGCAGTTCGTGACTTTCTTCGACCCTACACCCTGAACCCTAAACCCTAAACCCTGAATCCTAGACCCTAAACCCTAAACCCTAAACCCTAAACCGGATTGGTGCTGAGGTTCTTCAGGAACAACTACCCCAGCTTCGAGAAGCTCAGGACTGGCCCAGAGTCTTTTGGATTTTAGCAGTTTAGGGTTTACGGTTTAGGGTTTAGGGTTTAGGGTGCAGGGTTTAGGGTTTAGGGTTTAGGGTTTAGGGTTTTCTCTGGGTAGTTCTCTAGAGTAGGGTCCCTTTTGGGGTCCTATTTGTAAGGGTGCCGTACTATAATGCGGACCTAAAAAGGGGACCCTGTTGAGAGTTTAGGGTTTAGGGCTTCGAGATGCTTCAGGAACAGGGTATACTGTTTAGGGGTTTGGGAGAAATCCAGGCCTTCTCTTGGCAGGCTCGGATGACGGCTACAAAGGGAAATCAGACCCCCGGCAACTTCTTCCGTAGCCTTTCTAGTCCATCGTCCGATCCCAAAAGCCTAAACCCTAAACCCTAAACCCTAAACCCTAAACCCTAAACCCTAAACCCTAAACCCGAAGCTCAACCCCAAGCCCCCCCACACCCCATTCCTTCCCAAATCTAAACCCCAAGCCTTGAACCCTCAACCTTAAATCCGAAACCAGCAACCCTCTGAGCCCTAATATAGGGGCCTTAGTAATTAGAATAGGGTTCGGGGTATTGTGTTTTACAGTTATAATGAGGACCCCCCCAAAGCCTTATTCTAATTATTTAAGGCCTCTACATGTAGGAACCTGATTAAGAAACCCTGGCCCTGTAACCCCAATATATTTATATTCCATATTAAGAACCCCAATCAAGGCCCAGGGTTTCTTAATCAGGTTCCTATATTAACCTTTTAACTATCAAAGCCTACTCGTAGGCCCCATAGTAGTTCCTTTTTGGGATTACCTTATGGGATTCTAAATATGAACCCCAAAAACGAACCACTATGGGGCCTATGGGTAAGCCCTAAACCCTAAACCCTATGGGCAAGCCCTGAAAATGGCCCTCTGGGCAGGCGGTGCCTGGTGCGGCAGCAAGGCTCGCGCGCCTACTGCTGCCGGCTCCCCAGTCACGGTTTAGGCTTTAGGGCTTTAGGAGTTTAGGGTTTAGGGTTTGAGGGTTTAGGGATTTAGGGTTAGGGGGTTTAGGGGTTTAGGGGTTTAGGGGTTTAGGGGTTTAGGGGTTAAGGTTTAAACTCCAATATCCGGCAATAAGGGCTCCTGCAGAGGCATCCTTGGCAAGGGGCCCTTTATTGAGCAGTATTACTTGAACTAATGGCAGCGATCCTGAATCAACGAAAACTGATGGAGGGATGTCGGAGATTTTGGGGAGCTGCCATCACACTGGTAGTCCTTCTCAAACGTAGTAGATGTGTGATATAGTGGTAGTCGTCAGGCTGCCGCTACGGCAACCATGGCCACCACGGCAACCATCACCACCAGCACCACCAGCACATTTTTCGATATCGTTACACGAAAGGCTTCGAACTTGCAAGTGCCGACTGAGCCAAGAAATACCGAACCCCAGAGCGCAGTGCTTCCACTGCAACAGTGTTCCGGGCCCGATGTCGTGCCCGTTCTACCCGGAGCCATGAATCCTAAACCCTGAGCCCTGAACCTTACCTACCCGAAGCCACGAAACCTGCGGATCCAGGCCAATGCTCTTGGAAATCCGTTCACTCCTCTGCTGGCTTGGAGGCTCGCACCTTGTTGAGAGCTTCTCTCTCAGCTGCAGCTGGAAAGCTGGTAAGAACTGGCTGCTTCTTCAGGTCCTTTTGCTGCAGCACTAGACTCTCTGTTTGCAGGGCTTTCGCAGGATGCATGTAGCTTCTTGCGTGAAACTGTTCAACATAACTTCGCTGCCACGGTCTTGATGTTCTTTGGCAACCGCCGGCAGAACTAGGTTTAGAAGGGGTTCGCAGCAAACCTTCAAGCCCTATTGAAGAAGAAGAAGCTGGAGATCGAGCGAGACAAAAAGCGACAGAGGGAGGTTGTGCCCCGGCTGCTCACTGAGAGTGTAGACTTTAGGAAGTGAGTGAGCTTGTGAACTTCGCGCACCGCTCTTGTTGTGTGCTACAAGCAGCTGACAGACTGCAGATCCCTTGAGGACGTCGCTGACGGCTTGCGCTGGAGAAGGTTGTCCTGAGCTGCTAGATTTTGCGCAATATGGGGCCCCGCGACCCCGTTCCCTAAGCCTTCAACCCTAAACCCTAAACCCTGAACCCCGAACCCTGAACCCCAAACCCTAAACCCTGAACCCTGATGCCCAAACCCGAAGTCTGGAGTGCTCGGAGCCATGGCAATCGGAACACTGTTTTAAAAGCTACGCCTTAAAACACTCGTTCGAACCCTTACGTATAATGACGGGTATACGAACCCTGTTAAGAAGTCTTGTCTTGAGAAGCCTTACTTCAAAAAGCCCTCCACTGCCCAACACCTTCAAAACTCTCGTAGATCCGCAGGCACCTTGCATCGTTCATGTGGGTGGTTGTCAGAATTATGGTCCCTTTATGGGTCCGTAATATAATACGGCACTTAATATTTAGGGTACCCCAAAAGGGACCCTAATTTTGACGACCACCCATGTTGCACGGAGAGTCGACTCTGAAGGAGTCGGCCCCCTTCGCGCATCGCCAGTCCATAAATGCTGGACCAAAAAATTGGGCTTCTTGGAATTATGCTACTCTGCTTAAGGCCCTTAAAAACAAGGATGCTGCATTTTAGGATCTATGTTGGGGTCTCATTACCTGCTGACAAATTGCTGCTGGGAGTCGGACAGCCGGGGATGGGGATGGCGGGGTGGGGATAGCTTCGCGTCCAAGTTTGTGCAAGTCTTGGCACACCCGCTGTCTCCTTAGATCTCAAATCCCCGACATTTTCCATCGCTCTTACCGCCTCCACGTTTTGCATCCATGTTCTATCGTCTTCCGCTCGTGTGCCTTTGTGTTGTTGGCGGCATCAGCCCCGCAGCAGCATCCGAGCTTTGCAAAACCTCCGCGCTGGTGCAGAAGGCCCTGCATCGGGTACATCGCGAAGCGGATCGTCTCTCTGTGCAGGACACCGGCTTCCAAAGATGGCTCTGGTTTTGTTCATGTCGACATCCCTGATAAGCGTACAGCCAAACTTAAGCCTCCGATTTGTTCCAGAAGACCTATAGACCCTGTTTGCCTACCTGTCGGTAGGCCCACGCTGCCAGGAGTGTCCACCTCTTGTGCAACCTGAGAGTGCTTGCACCGCAGCGGCAGAAGACATCGGCTTCATCAATGCTACGGAATCCGGCACTCCTGGCGCCTGCATCCTGTGGCAGGAGTCAGGGAACATCACCTTGCAAGACATGGACGAGGCATTCTCCGGGATGGTAATGGACTCCTTGGCCACAAGATGCAAAAGCTGCCTTGATCCCTCAACTTCCTGTGAGCATGCGCCGGGCATCTCTTGCTACCACGGTGTGGCCTCCGCAGAGGTCTCGTTTTATGCCCAATGTCACCAAAACTGCCCTGAGGTCGAGTCGTGGGCTTGTAGCATCTTCTGGGACACACCTGACTCAGAGCTTGAGAACAGCACAGAAGCTCTTCTAACCCTCAGCCGAGATGTCACTGTCCCAAAGTCAGCCGGCAGCTTGAGTTCTACGGACACAGCCGAAGGCAGAGATGCCCTTGGAGGTGTGCTTTCTCAAGTTTCCTCCGTTCAGAACCGGTCTCTTCTATCTTTCCGCGATGGTCGCGCTCGCCGCTCCTCCCGCTGCTGGGGCAGCGTCGTGGATTCAGCCATTTGTGGCTTCAAGACCATCGAGGACGGCGCGATCTGTGGCTGGAACCAAGGCAAGAAGTGCAAGTATGGCCGGCGCAGGAGGTGGAGCGGCTTTAAGGGATGTGACTTCTGGAAAACCGCCAAGAACTGCAAGGTCGCGGCCAGCTGTGATGTCTCGCTGGACGTGCCAAGCTGTTTGGGAGATCTCTTTCAGGAGGTCAGCAACCCATACAGGGAGTATGCCGAGTACATCTCTAACACCGGCTGCAGCAGCGTGTCCTCCTGCAACCAGGTGTCCTATGATAGTAGGACTAATTCGGTCGGTTCGTGTTGTATTTCGCTGCTTTTTCTCTCGGGTTCCTGATGTGCTATAGCTAAGAAGCATATAGCCGCGTAGAGGTTCCCATTCTTCCATAACGAACTTAAGAAAGTACAGGCTTTTTCCTAGTGGGTTGCAGAACCGCCTAGGCAAAAGCGCCGTGGAGGATGGCCTCGCCGATGTGTGGGAGCTCGTGTACAGCTCCACACAGTCGGGCATCTGGGTTCAGGGTTCGGGGTTTGGGGAATCTCGTAATGCAATATACTAGAGCATCTCACTGTCAAAAAGAGTATAACATGGTGCAATATTACAGAATGAAGTATTACAGGGGTATACCATAGAATAAATATGCCTAAATCAATGTGAGATAGTACACTATAGTATAGCATAACATATACGAAATAGTGAAATGCAGTAGTACTGGTGGTTGGTAGCTGTGACAGAAAGCTTTAGTGTCTTGCTGTTCCGGCCAATATTCCTGTTTCCTCTACCGATAGGATGCTATGACTGGTATCAACGGTCACGACTGCGACTACCACTACGACTACGGCGACGACGACGACGACGACTAGTACTACCACCACTTTCATTAATTTTACCATAACATGTACTGCTACTGTTGCAATTACTTTTATCACTGCTTTTATTATTTCTACTGCTTATGTTTCTTTTCCCACTTCAGCAACCTTTACCACTCCTACTCCGACTCCCACTCCTGTTCCTGCTCCTACTCCTTCTCCTACTCCTGCTCCTGCTCCTTCTCTTGCTCCTACTTCTACTGGTCCTGCGCCTCCTCCTGCTCCTACTCCTCCTCCTCCTGCTCCTCCTCCTGCTCCTCCTGCTCCTACCCCCACTCCAACTCGGACTCCTGCTGCTGGTACTGGTAGTTACTGGTACTGGTACTGCGCTGGAACTGCCACTGCCACTGCCACTGCTGCTACGACGATGACGACGACTACCCTACTAGCGCTGCCTCAGTGAGCTACCGACGGCGACGACTTCCCCGACCGCCACCACCAGCACCACTGCCCCACATGAAGAGGACGACCACAACGACATATTTATGCTAGTACTTTGATGACCACTGCTGTGGCAACCTGACATCGTGACAATCCAGGCAACTCAGCATGTGAAGTGGCTGAGCTCTTTCAAGGTATTCTCAACCTGATGAGAAGTGGCACGGAGCAATTTGGTGATGTGGCGCCTACTCTTGTCGCAACTTGGCTGCCCGTGTTCAGGCGAAATGGAACTTGGGAGTTGGATACCCTAACTTCCTAAATCTTAACTTGAGCCTTAAACATCCCAAGCCCTAAAACCATGAACCTTATATGTTACACCCTAAACCCTAACCTTTAACCCTCATTCTTGGACCCTGAGCCCAAACCTAAACTGAGGCCCTAAACCCTAAACCCTAAACCCTAAACCCTAAACCCTAAATCCTGAACCCTAACCTTTAACCCTCATTCTTGGACCCTGAACCCTAAGCCCCAAACTGAGGCCAGGGCCAAGCAGAGTGCCGGCAGCCTCCTGGACGGCTTGGACACGGCGACCTCAGAGGTTCGGGGTCCCTCGGCGGCACTTGTGGGTTTAGGGTTGAGGGTTTAGGGTTAGGTTTAGGGTTTAGGGTTTAGGGTTTAGGGTTGGGTTTCGGGTTTGGGGTTTAGGGTTAGGTTTAGGGTTAGGTTTAGGGTTTAGGGTTTAGGGTTCAGGGTCCGTGCCTTACCAAACAGTTTCCGAAGGTCTTCGTGTACCGTAGATTTTTTTTGCTAAAGTGGACAGAAAGCTGCGTTGTTGGCCAAGAATTCCTCAACGGCGTCTTCGGCAGCTTTCAGAAGCATGACCTCGGGCAGGTCTGCACACCGACAGGCGCCTTGGGTGTTTCAGGAAGTAAAATAAAGGGGTTTAGGGTTTAGGGTATTTTATAGTATATTAAAGAAGTTTAGGGTTTTGGGTATTCTATAGAATATTTATAATAAGTTTAGGGTTTTGTATATTTATAATAAGGGCCCCCTAGAACCCTATTCTAATTATTAAGGCCTCTACATTAGGGGATGCGAGTATAGACCGCACCAGCGGGATCCCTGCATGGTCCTTTGCACTCAAGCGACGTCAAAACAATCCAGAAAACCTAAACCCCAGGCCCCTAAACCCCTACAGACCCTAAACCCTAAACCCCGAAGCCTTCAACCCCCCCCCCACAAACCCGAGATGCCTGCGCCTCCCTCAGATGTGGGTTTTTGGTATTATGTTCCAACGGACTGTGGCTTCTTCGAGAAGTTCGGGAACATCTTCTCAAGCCCCTCTGCTGCAGACTCCAACTGGGGTGATGCTGTGGACCGGCTCAGGGAGTGCACGATGAAGACCCATGGTCCCGCAATATCCGCGCTGTTTTTTGTGGGGGCTCTGAGAAGCGCCTTATAGGATTTGTATGGGTTTCTCCTAGGGATCTAAGCCTGAGTTAAAACATGTCCAGCCTTGTGAATTCTTTGGACTCTTGAAAGTTATAAGTTAAGTACGGTTCTTAAAAGTGAAGCTTTTGCTTCCTCGCATGATATTGGGGCAGCCAGGACTGGCGCCTTCGCCTTTCCGACCCCCTTTCTCGACTTCCGCGTTCAGGAATTCTGCCTTCCCACGGAGGTGCAGACCCCCATCGAGTACATCCTCGGGGTCTTCAAGTTTGGTGCCAACGGCGCGACCAGTCTCGTCAGCCACTTCGAAACCATCGCCGCGAAGGCTTGGTTCTTGTTCAGGAACTGCAGTTAAGATCTCATACTATGACCCCGTATAAACCCCTTGTAAAGCGTTATGTAAACCCTGTAGAGCTTCAGCCTTCCTAGCACTTTGTGACTCTAGCCCGAACAACCTTCTTTAAAACTGCGCGGTCATAAAGGCCTGCAGAACCCTGCGCAAGCCTTCATCACACAGCCCTAAACCCTACACCCTAAATCCCAAACCCCAAACCCTAAATCCCTGAACCCCAAACTCCAAAACCCAAAACCCAAAACCCTAAACCCTAAACCCTGCAGGTGCAAGGCTTGGTGAGCTCTGCCGGCTTGGACCTGATGCAGACGCTTGGAGAAGAAAGCCCCTGTAGGGTTTAGGGTTCAGGGTTTAGGGAAGAAAGCCCCGGGCTCATCACAAGGGCCTTGGTGGTTTCAGTAGGGCTTGGTGGCATATTCTCTCGTCTAAGCATATCGTGACATAGTTAGTGACTAGAGGGTCATACGATTACGAGTTGCTCGGATGAATATAGTAGGAGGTTGTGATAAGCAGATGGAGCAGTATCAGGATTTCTCAAAACATGGGTTTGATATAGTGTTTTGAAGTGTTGTGCAACAGTTGTAGAGGGTTGATATTCTATGAGGTTTTCTCACGATGAGCGTGCCTTGATTGGGGTCGTTTTGTGAGACAGATCCAACTGTTTAGGGTTTAAAGTGTTTGAGCCATCCGAACGAAAGAAAGCACACGAGTGAGTCCAGGTGCCTTCAGTACTGCCTGTCCCTGTGCCCGAAAGCTTCAGTGCCAGCTTTATCTTTATCACCCACCCACCCCACCCAGTTGCCCGCCCGCCCGCCCGCCCGCCCGCCCGCCCGCCCACGCACACGCAAGCACACCGGCACGCACGCATGCATGCACGCATGCACGCAGGCACGCGCGCACGCACGCATGCATGCTTTGACAGAAAAGTTGAACGAGTAGGTGAAGATGTGAAAATGTGCAGACAAATAACTTTGCAGCCATACAGAGGCTATGCGCAGAAAGCCGCATTTGTATACATAAACGCTTTGTCATATAAAGTACATACATGGATATGCGGAAACAGAGAAGATGGATGTAAGTCTAACCGTAGCTGTAGGCATTAATTTGCTAAATCTACATCCTACTCGTACACCACGAGATATGAACTTGAATATATGCATGTTTTATTTAGGGTTTAGGCGGTTTAGTGTTTTAGGGGTCTGAAGCACGCCTGTTCCGAAAAGGATCGGGCAGCAGATGAAGATTCGGAGGGACGCACAACGACAGCTCGCCCTTGCCCAGACCCGGGGAAATGCCTCCTCTGGTGCCTTGGAGACGAGTGGACGGCAAGTTTTTGGTTTGTTTGGGGGCCACATTGTGGCAGAAGAAACAGCTGAACCTACGGTAGACCAGGTGCGCGGGAAGCTTTATCCAACGAAGTACCCCCCCACACAAACCTCCCGGTCTGGAGGAATGTCAATTTGATACGTATCTATTTCCTTGAGTCTAGACCAGAGAATTCCGAAACCATAGCTATGGATGTTTCTACTCTAGAGCCGATTCCCCAATAGCTAGAAACTGAATCGTATTCTCTCTCAAGGTGTCTGGCACCGCTGTGCTTGCGAAGGACGTTATCACCCCACCAACCCCGACTGTGGGCTGGGGGGCACCTGCCAGTGCAATGGACAGGTCCGGTACGGCTACGGCAACCAGTGGCTCCTGGGATCAACAAAAAATATCTATATATATATATATGTATATATATATAATACATATATATATATATAATATCTCTATCTATCTCGGGTTTAGGGTTTCGGGGTTCGACATGTTGGGTTTAAGATTGGATAGGCTTCAGTTTCGTTCTTCCGACGGAGTAGCTCACCTCTGTGGAGTTCCAGAGGGTAGGATACCCGTCACTAACGACTACAATTCAAATTATGCCGTGTTTCCTATTGCAAGCGACGGCATATCCCTTACTTGTAAACACTACTCGTCGTTCGCCTCTGCCGGAGGAGAGGGCCGGGGTCAAGGGTTGGGGTGGGGAACAAAGGGTTACGGGTTTAGGGCGTTTAGGGTTTAGGGTGTAGGGGAAGAAGGGTCGGAACCTTTGACCAAAACCGAGGCGAACTAAGCGGTATTGGGCTCTCTGCACATCGGCTTGGGCGATAGAGTTCATTCATGGGATGGTATTGGGCTCTCTAGGCAGAGTCTCTGGGTATCGGGGATGAGGGCTGGATGGACAGTATTGAGATATATTGAGATCCTAAGTGCTAGTACTAGTAGTGGGAGGCTCTTGAGTGAGTCTACGTTGTATCCGCTTTGAATCCCGTGTGGCCCATGCTACACGTTGTTCTTTTAGTATCACTGGGGTATCCATTGAAGAAACTCCAGAGTCTTAACAACCCTAAACCCTGAACACTTAAACTCCAGACCTCTAACCCGTTAAACCCTAAACCTAAACCC